CCAACCCGTTCTTCTTCTGATTCGCACATGAATCCAGGCAAAAATAATCACCTCTCATGGAGAATGCACGATGTAGAGAACTATTCAACAATAAACTCCCTGCATCACACAACAAGGGCGACTTTAAATCAGAGGCGACAGAAAGAATACCTCCGACGAGTTAGTTTCATTCGACAAAGAAATCATACACGGTGACCAAAAACTCAAACTACAGGGTGCGCACAAAGTCCGTATACCCCCTATATGTACGTCAAGCTGACGCGAGTAATCATGCCACGTTCGTGCTGGTGACCTTCGCACGACCTTGGCAAGTGTTCTGAACATGAACAACAGAACTTGGCGGCGCATTCGGCTATGCAGAGACCACGGAGGAACACATATGGATGTTTTGGATTCCTAAGAGGTACGTTCCACCTTTTGTGATACGTATATTTGGGGGTATACGGACTTCGTGCGCACCCTGTAGAGAATTTAGGCGACGTGCGAGCAGGTGCCTGATAAGGTTTCTGGGGAACCGAACCGCGACTTGAGATTTCCCTCTATATCACGATTCTTAGAGGTTGCTTAGCTGGTAGGTATCACCTGGATGTGGTATTTGAGAATAATTCTTCCAACTTTAAAACGATTTCCATTATTCTGAAAGCAGTTAAAAAACAATTGAATATTAAGCTTTCCCGCTTCATCAGTTGAAGATGGTATTTTTGCCCATCCCCCCCTAAAAAAAACTTTAAAAGGCATAATTTGAATTACTGATTGATTTAGGCACTCGAACCAATTTAGTTGTGGATGATACCTACGAAGCCATGCTTGGGCTTTCTGAAAACTAGAGAATTTCACTGCGATCCTTACATATCTCCGAGACCTTGAAGGGAAAATTAGAGGGAACTATCGTCACCCGCCACAACGAGGAAAGAGATTGTGGGATTCCCCGAGCTCAGAAAGGGCGAAAAGGGAAAGCCAGCAAAAGGGAAAGAGGAAAAGCGCAGTCACGATGACTCGCGCCTTCCATCCACTTCCATCCACCGGAGCCTCCTCGCCTCCGTTCCCGTCCCGGTACCAAATCCGAACATTCCCATTTCCCCTGATCGATTCTGATCTAGCTGGTGCAAACGTAGCTTGTCCGCTCGAGGTCGATCCGTCAGTTGAAATCCAGTCATTCAAATCAAAATTATGATTAACATTCGGCAACAGGTGCGACATTTAAAATAATGGTCATGTGCACGGAAAATGCTTTGGACTTTTGAGTTTAAAACTTTCAAAGGTTCACTCAGATCGAAAAGGGCAAAACTCGGTCAAACATCTAATCGAAAGGTCAGAGAACCGCATCAATTCTTGCCACGTGGTATCTGCCAATAAATGGCGAATCTCGATTTGCACTCTCATCAGGCGGAGTGAATATACCTTTCCAAATGAGATTCTCGGGCCTTCCTGCAACGATGCAAGCCCGCAACCCCGGTGGGAGTTGGAGATGAGAGAGAACGAGGAGGAACTTACACTTTAATGCTGCTGCGTTGATGATGATGGTTCCCGTTCGAGCGGTGAAGGTGCTTCCAGGTGCTTCCAGGTGTCCCGCGACGCTGTGAGAATCGCGATGGAGAGGGAACTCGGTCCATCACTAGAGAGAATCAGGAAACAGAAGATCGCTGCTAGTTCTTCGATTCAGGTCTCACGCGTGCTGAATTTTATTTTATTTTTTTTTTTAACTCGGTGCCTATCGGACCCAACCAACTCCATTCATTTCCTCCTTCAGTCCCCGATTAAACCATAAATTTCACTAAATGCGAAACTGAGGTCTATCGCAAACCCTCGACGCCAGCCCGCTATCGTTAACGTAGACGGCAGAGTCATACCAAAATCTCCAGGGCAATCCGACGGAATCGAGCAGCTCGAGCACGACTTCCAGCACCGAAAGACATCCACGGATTCCGAAACTCTTCAGAATGAAAACACGAAGAAACCGAGAATCCACCAGAGCCACAAGCTCCATTGAAAATCCCGAAACCAATAGTGCCAACCAAGAGATCCAGACACAGCGCCCACTCAAACACGCACACACGCACACACGCGCATCCAGCAAGGAGCTCGCCCGTGAAAGCAAGAGACACGCGACCTTGGTGCCTCCCCACCCAGGCACTCGCACAAAGAACAAGTCTTCTCGCGTGCTCCGCAGCCTCGGGCCATATCCGCCCTCCCTTTCTCCTTCCCTGTCCATGCCAACATATGTTTCCCACTTAAGCATTTGTACCTGTCCATTGTACCGACGGCGGGGGGGGGGGGGGGGGTATGGCATGCACAACTCTCCGATCGTTTACAGTAACCGACGATGCAGCATCTCAATCACGAATCCCGCGTTTTGGCTCGGGCTGGAGAGGCAGTGATCATCCTCAGATCATCCGACGGCTGAACATCCGAGTCTGCGGCTCCCGTAATTTGCAGGACAAACGGGAAAAAAATTCCAATATCTCGCGATTAGAAGCACGAAAAACACATAAATAAGTCATTTACATGAACGAAAATATACAATATAATAATATTATATGACACTTTCGTTATTATATTATAATAACGAAAGTGTCATGATCGTGCTACGAACCAGATTCCAACGAGAATCCGATCTGAGAAAAAAATCAACTAGACTTCGGGCCATATTCCCCCTCCGTGCTATCCAATCCAACAAGCTAAAATGATTGTACCTTATCACATTTTTTTCTGCTCTGTTCTTTTCGATCGTCGACGAGGCCGGAAATCCCTTTCGATTTCCTGCTGTCTGGAATTTTTTTCTATCGTTTCGTGCTTGGTATGCCTGGGAATCACGGCGTATTGAAATTCAGTGGCCCAGTGATGTATATTCTCTTTGATCTTAGCCTTATCCATGGCGAATAATTGAATCAAATTCTACTCTGTGTTGCCTGGCCACTTGCCAGCCCCCTTTGCCCCCTTTGCCCCCCCCCCCTCAATCCGGTCCCGAGTCGGGCGCATAGTTCATTCAATTCGTTGCTGTTCGTTTTTTTTGCCTTTCCTGTTTTTTCTGCCACGCGTCTAAAGCACTGGGTTCACCGGCCGCACCGTCGGCCAAAACAAAAAATCTGCAAGTCTGCCTAGCATGACGACGGAGAATGACGGGAATGATGAGGACGCCTGCAGCGAGGAGGACGAACACCCAGAGCATCCATTTCCCTGACGGTCGACCGCGCCCCGTGGGAAGTCTCCTCCCCTCGCCCAGGCCTTGATCGAGGCTCGCACTCGCTCGCCTCCCACGCCTGACGTCTTCGAAACGGGTCTGAAGCTTCTTATTCCACGCACTACATAGGACTATATAGTACCCGCACCGGATCCGTTTGAGCTCAACTAATCTGATCTCGCAATGGTCTCCTATGAGAATCAGTTCAACAGAGACAAAATCGATGCCCATTACGAAAAGGAATCGATTTTAAGTTAGTTAAAGTTGGTGCACGTCACCCTATGTCCCTCAGAAATGCACGCGGAGGAAATGCTAGGAAGTCCCCGTCTGTGGAGGAGCTTGGCTTCTCATTCACAGCGGCCTCGTTCGCTCCAAGCACCGCTTGGAGCGCCTTGCCGCCAGGCGATTATTTTTGGCCGATTTCCGCCAAAAAGTCAGAAAATCGCGATTTGGGTGGAGGGCCGAATTTCGTCGGAGGAAGCGATGTTATATCAACCATTAAGTACCGTTTCGTGGTAATGGGGTTTTAATATTTGAAAGGGAAGACAAAAATTTTATTTCTCATGGATAAAAAGTTTATTTGTATTTCGGATAAATTTACTCCCTGATTACAATTTTTTTATTACCGAATATCTAAAACAATTTTTTTATGGTTGCATCCAAAAAATTAAGCATTTTTAGGCTGGATTATTCAGTGTTAAGCCCCGCTAGAAACTGTTCAATCTTCCTTGAAAATGGAATAAATCGGCACTTCGAAAATGCAAAATCATTCGGCAGTAGACAATGACTCATTTCTGCAAGCGAACGAGAAATTCGCGTTTCTTTATGGGACTGCCAGGCGCATTAACATTCATGGGATGGGAAGTTCATAATATTGAGTTGGAAAGAAAGTCTTGCAACACTTTCTCAAACTATTTATAAACATTTTCAAGGGAATGATGGGCGGGGCTTTGCAATTTGTACATGCTGGATTGTTCTCGAAGCTTCTGCCCTCGGGGTATATGAGGCGGCTTCTGCCATCAGTCGGCAGCCATGGCTCCGATCGAACGAGCAACTCTTCGCCCCATCGTCCACTACGAGCTCCTCCAAGGACACTCTGCGAGAGCCGCCGCGG